AACAATCCAGATGCCAGAGACCTTCATTTTTAAAGCCCTACTTTACTGAAATTGCTAATAGTTTCATATCTACTCTGGAAAAAAGTAAGTTCCGCTAAGTTCATTAAGATTTACTCCTGGGCACCCTTAGTTGTCATTCAAAGATTATGGGTCAGAAATTTCTCTCATTTTCTTTTGCTTCCTAAAGGTAAGAGTTGTTGTTGTTGTTGTGAAGACAAAAGCTTTCATGGCCGGCATCCATAGTTTTTTGTGGGTTTTTCGGGCTGTGTGACCATGTTCTAGAAAATGCCAGCCACAGATGCTAGCAAAACGTCAGAAAGAAACTCTTCTAGAACATGGCCACACATCTCAAAAAACTCACAAAACAACTATAGTTGTTGTTGTTGTTGTTGTTGCTTTGCCAATCTCATGATGAGTAAAAAGAATTAATTGCAAGAACTGTCACTAGGCTATGCACTATAAGGCTTTTTAAAAAGTATTTTTAGATTGCAATAGGAACAGCAGGAGCTGAACCAAAGAGAGAGAGCATTTTACCCTATTAATGCTTACATGAATTGCCAACAGGACTTAGAGGAAGAGTGAATTCAGATTCATTACACTTTAAAAAAAAAAAAAAGCCATTGTGAAGCCGAAGGAGGAGAGAGTAAGAAAATCACTGAAATCCTATTACAAATGGTTGGTGTATTTCTGACCTGGCACTAACAAGGTTCTATTTAAAATCTCGCGAGACAGTCTGCTCCCATGGGATTTCCAGACTGACTTTGAGGCCAGGGAGGTTAAGCAGTTTTGATAAGCTTCAGATAAGCATGCAAACTTTTATAAGCTTATGAGCACTGGTCAAGGCTCTGAACCTTTAAAAGGCCGCCTGCCTTTAATGCTAGAGCAGTCATACTGGCACTACTGAAATTGTTCAGGAAATATTTTCTCAGCTCTATAGGAGGCAATCAGTAATAGTAACAGGTACCAGTGATTTTTTTTGGGGGGGGGAGGGTGAAGCACAGGAACATTAAAAAAAATATTTTTCTGGTCATCCAGGGTTCACAAAGCAATATGATGTCTTCTTACACACAATTTGTGCTGAAACTAGATGTTCTGCACACATACACAAAAGACAAAAAATAAAGTCTCTTACACACTATATGGCAGAGGCAAGTTTTTCTACAGTATAAACCTAGGATTAATTTGAAAATATGAGGGGGTATTTTACAGACAATTAGGTTAGGCCTCAATTTTATTCAAGGAACTCAGTGGATATCATAGAACCCATCATGTGTGGCTGCTATTTAGAGTGGGAAGGGGCTTCATTCTTCCCCAACTGCTAAATACAGGTACTATTTATATATCCAAAGCAGTCCCAGAGTGCCTCTGTGTTCTCACTGGAGATTTTTACTCTCTCACACTCAGTTTCCTTTCCATGTTTCTCAAGTGATATTAATGGAAAAGACTGTCAAGAGCAAGATGTGACACACAGCACAAAAAAACTACAGATACAAACAAAAATCTGCAAAATCCAGTGTGCATTTTGGTAGCAGTGTTGGAGGTGTTGAATCTTTGATTTAGTAAACTTGAATTAACTGCTAACTACTGTTGAATTAACTATTTATAATCCACTGTGGGACTCCCCCCTCCCCCGGGTGGGATAATAAAAGCTTCAAAATAATAAATGAATTATCTTTGTAAATCCATAAATATGATCAAGAGTCAGTTTCAATACTTTCTCTCTGTATATCCTAATAAATGTGCAGTCCTATGCATGACTTCTGAGAAGTAAGCCCCACTGAGTTAAAGTGGATTTATTCTTAAGAAAGTATGTATAGGATTACATCCTAAATCTGCCACCACACTAGCTAAAAATCCAAATAAATCAGTCTTCCAGAGAGAGAAAGAGTGAGAGATACACACACTGGTATATACATATATAGGTATAAAATTAGTATAGTACATGGGATGTGGTTCATACCTTCCCCAGAATTAAATCCTATATGGGTTCATGTGGCCCATGATGGAATAATGGTGCAATTTATAAGCATAATAACCTCCTTCAGTTGATTTTGAATTTGAAAAATAATTAGAAATGTCAGAACTTTTCAACATATTTCTCAGAACAGAGCATGAACTGGATGACTGTGTCATACTCTGGGAGGCAGTATGGCTTTAAAAAAAATAATAAATGTGAACAGGACATTTTTAGGTAATAGGTATGATTGGCTTTACCTTATCAATTTAACAAAATTTCATATTTATTATTTTCAAATGGCTGATCAAAAAAAAAAAAAGAAAAGAAAAAGTATGATTAAGAAGTATGCTTCTCTAGAAGACTACCTTGGTAATTTTATTTTATTTTTTTTATCACAAAGGAAACATACATTTTTATTATTTATGTAAAGTATATATGTTACACCACTCAGTAAAATTCCTTGCCTGGATGTAAATATGGCAATTTTCACTTTCAGAATCTCTAGGGAATCAAACACAATCAGATACAATCATATAAAAATCTATAAATTGCTTACTTTGATTTTTGTGGGGTTCTGATTTGTTGTGTAAAAGGAGAATAATCCCCCAGAATCTTTGATTTAGCTCATTATTAAATATAGAGATTTTCTACAAATAACTGCAAATAAATTGACAAAATTGTGCCTATCTTAATATGGCAGAAGGTGTCCTGCAAATGTGTAGCTGATTTCAAAGACAATAACCAGCAATGCTGTTGCATATGCAGTGCCCAATTCTTGAAAAAACAAATTGTTAAAAGACAAGCTAAGAGTTCTATGGAACATCTGAGTTTAAAATTTCAGCATTTGCTTACTTAATTATTGAATAGGTTATTGTATTCATTTTCCTTCTCTTATCAGACTCTCCATAACATCATCATCATCATTGTTGTTGTTATTGTTATTATTATTGCTTCTCTTATTATTATTTCAAAAGAACTATGATTACTTATCAATTCTATATAAAAGTATGCACACCCATGCTCCTGCATCCAGGAACAAAAGAGGAGGGGATAAGAGGAAGTATGTGGAGAACAATTCTTATGCCTCAGTGCTTTTTATAAAAAAAATTTAAAGGATGTTTCTGCTGGGTGGGAAAAGATTTGTATTCTTAAATTAGCTATATTGAATCTAGATACCATAATTCACCCAAGTGCACAGCTGATACAATTGGGGTCAGAATTTCAAAGGCGCTGAAACTCAGCATCCCCTACTTTTCTCAATGGGAGCTGCAGGGTGCACAGCAATTTTGAAAACCTGGCTGCTTTGTTACCAAGCAGCTATACAAGATAGCCAAGCATTTTCCAAAACCTCTTCACATATTCAGGTGCTGAAGTAAAAGGGTGGGAGGATGAGGTGCCGGAGGTTGAAGGGAAAACTGAACTAGCATTGATAGCCAAGTGCCAAGAGAAAATTATATAGAATATTTATTAAAGAAAAGTAGTCTCTTTCCTTAAATATACATCAATGTAAGAGTCTAAAATTGCTCAGGTCAGATAAAAATACCAATTTAATGGTGTGGAGTAAGGAAGCTGATTCAAAAATTGCCATGTTGATATTCTAGGTAAACAAAAGCAAAAATGGAGACCCGCTTATTCGTTTCTAAGGCAGCTAAATGGGAATAAATGAGGGGAATGGAGAAAGTCAGGGTAGAAGTTGGTGACCACCAACACATATATATTTCAATTAATTCTCAGTTTAATTCCCAATACATTTTTTCTATTTAATAATATTTTAAACTTGTGTATTTGTACAGGAAAGATAGACACCAAAGCAAAATCCTTAACAGCATGGGTTTTTAAACATACCAATATTACTATTAATTCATTCTAAAAATTTTGTACTTCTTTGTTTGTCCATGCCTAGTTTTTATGTTCACACTGTAGTGGCTTGGACACTTTTTAGCCTTGTTTTAAGTTTATACTAGTGGAATAATTAAATTTCAATTCCATGTGCTTCCCTTAAGTTTAGCTTTTAACATCATGGCTCATGCAGGCTTGCTCCTAAATATAATACTAGCTTCTGCCAGTCTTCTCTTAACTTCTGTTAAACTGGAATCATGCAACTCTCCTTTCTGAGCAAAATAATGTGCTGTCGGATGAATTATGAACATTTTTTCTAAATAGAGAATAATAATAATATTTCTAAATTAAAATAAAAGCAATAATGATGATGATTCTTAAAGTGCTAGAAACATACAAATACAGAATTCAACTGGAACCATGACCCTTGCAGGGCAAACAGACAAAGGTACAGGAACAGAGTATGAGAGAAAGGTTACTTACTTCTCTGCAGTAACTGAGCAGCATCATTTACATAGCCTATTGCACAGTGTTTTGTAAACAGGGTGTGTACAGTGAGTGTGTGTTTCTACTTGACTGTTCTCAAAAAGCAAGGCAGAGCTACTGTTTTTAGTACACACTTCGGGTTCACTGTTAATCCTGTTTTATGTTGTTCACACCTGCTGCTGACTAGCAGCCTGCTGATGGTTTATGGTTTGTGCTGCTCTAAGTGAATCTCTACTAACTCCACCTAGACCATCAACAAAAGCCACTTTGCTGTACCCAAAACAAAAGACGATCTGGGGGGGGGGGGATATTGTTGTTGTTGTTTAAATCTAAAGTGGTGTGCCTCCCATTCATGTATAATGTACAGAGGTTACAGAGATTTTCAGCAAAATGAAATTTCCCCTCTTAAAATTTGAAATAAGTAATCCCCATGTTTTTAAAATATGTTCAGTGGAAATTGTATTAGAAAAAAAATCACTCCAGCAGAAAAATGCACACCATACTGTAATGGTGAACATTTTCTGACTTGCAAAAGGAAATATTCACCTGCCAAGCACAGAGTCAGTAACTTCCCTCATTTCTGATAAAATTTTGAAAGATATTTTCATACAACTCAGTTGGTTACATTCTGTTTTTGTTTGCGATGGTCTGAATAAAGAGCAAAGAATGGCACTGAAAGTGCAAATGCTCATGTAAATATGGATTGGTATAGATGAAAGCCAGCATGGCATAGTGGTTTAAGTGTTGGATTACAACACTAGAGATCAGGGTTCAATTCCCAGCTCAGCCATGAAACCCACGAGGTGACCTTGGGCAAATCACATGCTCTCAGCCTCAGGGGAAAGCAATGACAAACCTTCTCTGAAGAAAGCTTGCCAGAAAACCCCATGATAGGTTTGCCTTATGATGGCCATAAGTCGGGGACTACTTGAAGGCACACAGAAAACACAGAGAGACGCAGATATGCACACTACACATAAAAATCAGAGTCATTTTCAGGGCCTATTAAAACACTAATATGGAACAATATGAATACACAACTTTCTTTACAACTCTTCCTATACATTTCCAAATACACAGAGAGAACTAAAAGTCTATCTGACTTACATCTACAGATGCACACACTAGAAGAAAATATCCAGGTCAGAGGTTTATAAAGACTTCATATTTCAGTTCAATTCTATGGATATTTACTCAGAAATTTTCACTCTGGCATTCTCTTAGGTATGTATTACAACTGCAACCTATGTCTAAATTCACTACCACTGCAAAACTACTGCTCAATCATATCAAGTTACCTACAGATTTTATTAAGATCCATCACACTTCAACAGCAGCCTCTGGGAGAGGGGAATTCTGATAAGGCATTACAGCTAAAACTAGAACTTTTAGCTTTGTTAGACCCTTCTTAACTATTCCAGTCTCCTTAATCTCTAGGATTTGCAGGCAGTTTTTTGGCCGAAGAAAGCTACTTATGCCCACTACACTACAGCGCCTTGACAGATACCCAGATACACTCTCTGCTGTTGCACCTTCACCAAAGGCCCATGCTGCGTGTATCTAATTAATGTCAAGCGAAATAAGAGATCCTGTTCTGTGACTTCCTATGCTGGTGACTATAGACAGTAAGGGCCAAATGACAGTTGTACCCATGCTTTAACACACAATAGATATATATGAACTTAGAAGGAGCACTGAGCCAGGATCGCCAATGAGAGTAAGGGCCTCAGCAGACGGCTTATTGAGCCATCTTGGAGGCAAGGAAGAGGAGGGGCAGCCACACACGCGGCGCCCCTTCCTCTTCCCGAGGTTGCCCTCGGAGCTGCCGGCCCTCCGCACGGCCAGCTTTTCCTCACACACTGTGGCGGAAAAGACAGGGAAAGTGCACCCTACACGTTTAGGGCACACTTTCCCTGTCTTCTAAAAGGAGTGCCAATTTGGAGCTCCTTTTAGGGTCACCACAGGAGCGCCGTGGTGCGGAGGCTGCGGTCCCGCAGCGCTCCGGACCAGGGCGTCCCCGACGCCCTGGTCTGCATCCCCCCTAAATTACTCCAGAGTATGCAAACTTCAGACTTTGCAGTATCTTCATTTTTCTTTTCTTTTTTCTTCTTTTTTTTTTACAAGCAACCAGAGCCCAAATACAAAATAGTGGCATGGATAGACAGACATATGCTAAAAATGAAGAAAATGAAGGTTTACTAATAGAAAGCCTTAGCATGGTGTCTAAGCACATGCTCAGCCCTAGAATTTGTAGAAACAAGTACAGAACTCTTTTCAAACAAACAAACAAAAATCACTCCTAGATCTTGATCTATTTATTGAATTGAGTGTAGTTCTAAACATTTGCTATTCTTATAAAATGGGAAAGGCAACAATGGAAGTCAGAAATGCTTTCTGATCTATTGCAAACCGCTCAGACATCTACCACCTTTTGCCTACATTGGCAGTGGCTCTCACAGAAGCCTTCCCAGCTCCCACCTGGGAAACTGCCAAATTGAGTTTTGCATGCAGACCTTCTATATATTGCTGTTGCATCGCTGCTGCGAGTCCCATCACTGCCTGTCAAGCTTATTTCTGCAAAAATGAGTATGGTATTATCTCACTTCCTTCCACACGATCCCATTTTACTGCAGTGGTTGAGGACCAACTTCACAACTGACTGTTGGGGTCCACACGGCATTGCAGGTTGAAGCTGTCCTGCAATGAGGAGTTAGGTGAGTATGCATCATCATGTCTGACACAAGCCCACCACACACTTTGGTCTGCACAAGAGGCAGGAGAATGTCTATGCAGCCTCTTCCTAATCACATTGCAGCAGCAGAAGAAGCTGACAGTCCATAAGCTAGTTCCTAGTCTTTCATCGCATTTTACCAGCAACCAATTGAAAAATGCCATCTTTTAAAATTACACGAGTGAATTTTACATCAATCCATATATGAATCTCTCCCCCAAAAAACACATACAAAAAAGTGTTACCCAGAAGCACAAATGAGTTTAACATGCCCCAATTGCTTTCATATCTAAATAAAATAAATAAATAGTGTGCTTGTTGCTAAAACCCAGACTTGCAAACATGAGGTGAATTCGCAATTCTTTGCGGCTTTCCATGCTTTAAATGGAGGGGGAACAAAGAGGGGGAACAATTCAAAACATGTCCACCATAGGTATAATGGACAAGATTTATTGTTAAATATTAAATATTTATCCATCTCATCAGCAACAGTAACTTACTGATCGTGTGGCATTTGTGGCTTGCAATATATTGTTGACTCCGAGATTGTGTTATTAGTGGCTGAAAAACAATAGTGGTATGTCCTGCTGGCTTCAAGCACTGCTCCAAACATGCCTGCTTCAGGAGGAGTTAGGACTACTTTATTTTTGATTGCAGTGTTTTCCTCAGGCAGGGAATTTTATTTCAGTTTGAATCTTTAAACCATTACATTTTCAGTGATACATTTTTATATTTATAGTTGACCTCTTCATAGAAAAATGAAACCTCTGAGCAACAGCTCTAAAGCATGGTTTGCCTCAAGTTAGTACTTAAATTATTTTACACCCAAATGGAGCTTGTTGTTTGTAGCTAAAATTTCATAAACCTTAAACCAAAGACCTTTTATTTAAATGAAGGTCTCCGATTGGGAAAATAAACTTGCTAATGAAATATATATATTCCCATTTGAAAAGCCTATAGAAACTAGAACAGTTGAGACAGTTTATCAGCTTGTCAACATTTTGCTTATAAACTCCCTGTCTTGGTTAAAGGTACAGAACAAGGATGCCTTGATTAATCAAATATTATTGACTGAAATAGGTAACAGTGATCTTACTGAGGGTAATCAATATAAATCCAAAATCAATCTACTGTAGCTTGCACTACTATTTATCAACTTGAATACACCACAGTTATCTGCATGCTTCAAGAGAAGTAGAACAACTTTACAGCATGATATAAGAACAGCCTCAAAATATCAGACTGTTTAAAGGATTAATTACATTAAAGATTTTTAATTTTACATGGTGATTTTATTAATTTTGTAGAAAGCCCAAAAGAATTCCATGCAACCTAAGATACATTTTTGGTCTGCTTGCATTGTTTTTTGCTGTCTCTCCCTTTTACACTTTATGCATTTTGAGACTTGTGCATGCAAGCAATTTTCTTTAACAAGATGTCTCTATATTTCTCTTTTAATATTTTTGTGTGCAATATATAAAAATGGGAATATAATTCTGTTGCCTTAAAATAGTAAAAGCAAAATGATAAGGAGATTAGTTTTAAATCACAGTGATAACAAATGAATCTAAGATCTTGCATATTAAGGGCAACGGTGAATATGTTGGATTATGAAGTGAATACTCTTTACAATGATTAAGACATACATTTAATAGAATGGAAAAGGATAAAGATGCTGAAATTTTCTGAAGAATGCTTGAAACAGATATATTCCACTTATCAAAAGAGCTGTTACTATTGCCAAGGGCTCCCTTCTCAATATATTCACCTGCAGTTTAGTTGAGGTAATAAGTCCTCCCCTTCATTACTGCGTACTCACGAGCCCCCTACTATTCAATTTAAATGGAAAAAAGGCATGACATGTCTAAAACATTTACTTTTGCTAATGTAAAAGTGTTGGCATTTTGCTCCATTCCTGATAAGCTGGTGCCAGTGGAAGTGATTATTCTTTTCTTATTCAAAGCGTATCAGCAGTCGAAAGCACTCTCAATCTTATCAGGTGTATGAACAGCACAGTTACTGAAAACAGTTTGTCCTGCTTCTTTCTCTTTCTGCCAGACTGTCAGATAAACCCAACTAACTAACTGTATTTACACACAATCAAACATAAGCTGTATCTTCGAAGAACTGTTGACTGATTTCAACATGCCACAGGTTTGCTGCTGGACATTAGTGTCATCAAAATGCCAGCAGTGTGTATCCCCAAACTATAAGCAGGAAGAAACATCTAAAAAAAACACCCAAAAAACAAAACCCAAACAAGCAACATACCAATGGTGTACAAGAGAAAAAGAGAAAAGTGGAAAAATGAAAAGGGGCTCAGAATGTAATTAACAGTCTTTATGTTAATCCCCCCCCCATAATACTGACAACCCAATACTCTTCTGATTTCATGAGCTTTCTGCAATACCAGAGATGTGTGGGTCTACCTGTACTGCTTTTTATTATCTCCTTAGTTGCCAACTCCCTTGAATTTGTATCTTTATTAGTTGACTAATTCAGTATAGAAAATAACCACTTTCTCTATGGGGGGCACAAGGCAATTTCTGTCAATGGATTACACAACCATTGCTCCACATGTGGCAAAAGCTTTGGCATGTGAACAGTGCCCCATGCCCATCTCCTGATTTCTTTTACTGAACCCCTCTGACAGAACAGAAAAAGGCAAACATATGCTATCACCGGAGCCCATCATGTACTTCTGCTTTAGGTTCAAGAACAAAATGATCCATCCTTTAGGTAAGTAGGAGAGCAATGGCATGAATTAAGTCAATTGGGCTCTGCTGTGTGATTCAGGTGATTGTTGCTTCTCCATCTGTAAAACTGGAGTCCTCCTGATTAATGGGACAGGTGTCACTCATGCTAATGCACAATGGGGGCAGGGAACGTTCAGCTCTTGCTAATATGACCCTACTAGTACTGTGAATAGCAATATCTAACATGATAATCCACTACCTTCAGATAGAACTTCCTTCAGATACTAGAAATATCTGAAGCCTGTCTTCCATATCTACTCATTCTGGAGAAAAATCGCTTGAAACAAATGTTTTCATTGTGTT